TGAGATAAAGTCGATTTGATTTTTAGTGTGTCCATCTGGTGAAATCCATGTCGCTTTGTGGATATCTTTGTGCCTGAACACACTGCCTCCAATCACCAAATCGTTGAATGCGCAGAATTCTGCAAACAATTCTCCATTCTCATTCATTTCACCTAGTGCCTCTCGACCCATGGTTAGTTCTCTTCCCGTGTTGTCCCCTCCCAGTTTGGCATTCATGTCGCCCATCAGAATTTTGATATCGCCAACTGACGTCTTGTCCAGTGTTGATTGAAGTTGTCTGTAGAAATCCTCCTTTTTCTCTTGCTCTGCATTATTTGTAGGTGCATAACATTGTATGATTGTGACCTTTCTTCCTTTTGAGTTGAATCTTGCTGTCATGATCCTGGAGGAGATTGGTTCCCACTGCATGAGAGCCTTCGATGCTCTTGAGGACATCATGATAGCCACTCCCTCAGTGTGCTCGTGGTTGGCGTCTGGGTGACCGGAGTAGATTATTGATTCTCCAGTTGACAGTTTGGAGAGTCCACTCCCATTCCATCTGCTTTCGCAAATCCCAAGCACTTCGATGTTATACCTTCTCATCTCCCTTGCAATCTGGGCTGCCTTACTGGGTTCAAACATCGTGCGGACATTCCATGTCCCCACGTTTACTTTCGCTTTCATCGAGAGAAGACACATCGGCCAATTGGCTTCCCGAAGGCTTTCACCAACTGGCGTCATTTCGCCTCTCCGATTCCAGCGGGGAATAAGTTTGTTTTCATTTTTTATATTTTGTTTGTGCTTTGAAGTTTCTTTAGCGGTTAGATTTGTTTTACGGGGTAGGGTTGCTAGCCCTATGCCCAACCTTCCCTCTTTACCCGGGCTTAGGACCGGCTAGTAACTAGTAAACTAGTTAACCAGGCGAGGTTACATAAGAATAGGTAGTTAAATTTGAAGAAAGTAAACGTTAACGTATTGAATTACTTTTGTCTATATGGCTGATCATATCGATCAATATGAAAATCCGACTTCGTCCTGAATTACCCATTGACACTATATTTCAAACCCTTCTATGGTTCTCTATGTCCAACTGTTAAAAACAATCTTTCACGAGTATATTTATGTGGAATAGTTATACACTACTCGTATCTTCCCTTTAAACGTTCCGATATTTTTGAAACTGATAAATTATTGCTATCTGTAGACATTACTCAACCAGAGTAATCTGTATTAAAGTCTTTTTGCAATAACGTTCAGATAATTAAATGAAGTAAAGCGTATTATTCACAGATTGCGATACGGTACGAATGCGCTTATCTTGCTTTTAGACTTAAAGCCTATCCATATGCTGAAAACGTTGAGAAGAATATGACCTTCACAGTGGAGGGAACTCGTTAATTACCTACTACTCTATACTTTTCGTACTGTGAATCTGAGGTCCGAAATTCGAATTCCATGAGTAGATATCGTCTGCTGTGCCGAATAATATCTGCTAGTCCCCAAACTTCCATTATTTGTGAATTTTACTGGAGTTCCTAAATTATTATTAGACATAATCAGAAATAAACTTATAAAAGACGCGTATATGAAGAAAATTTTGTTTTTGACAAATAATTTTTGAAATTTATTTATATTCCTAATAAAAAGTCATACTCTCTTAGTCTCAGATGTTAGTTCTTGAAAGGATTCAAAATGAAGAATCACATTTTATAGCTTTGTGATCAGAAAACTTGATGGTATGACGGTAAAGCCATGAGTTGCTCTTTTCTCAAACAGCATCAAGAAGTCGTAGTTACCAATACTATCTGATTTAAAATGAGGCTAAGAACTTCACAAAGATATCAGAATTAAAATGATATGCGTTTTTAATAATTTGGTGCTAACCAAAACAGAGAGTTATGTACTGAGAATACGTTTAGCGTTTAATGACAGTGCAATCATTGTTCTCGAAGTGCAGATATTACTGGTGGGAAAGTTTTTTTTATTGAAACAGCTAGAATAACAGAAAGTAAATCAAAGGTTTCATTTCGAGTTTTACCAACATAGTCGTGTAACGCTGTCATGTTATTTAATAAGATGATAAGAACAGTATCTATTTTCTCACTATTATCGAAATATTTAAAGTTACTTAAGGAGTAGTTTATGCATACTTTATAGTCCCAGTTTGCTGACTTAACAAAATAATACTGTTATTTCTTTGTAATCCGACCAGAAGTTTATGTTTTCTTTACTTTTAGCTCATATGGCCACTGAGTTTGAAATTACTGAATTTCGAGCCACGGAAAGTTAATAAGTGATAATCTTAGAGATACCGTAACCGTATAACTTGTAAAATGCCTGCAAAGAAATAAAGATATCTGTCAAGGAGTTTCGGCTGATGGATTCTTGAATGATGCTATAATATCATAGATAACTAATTTAGATTCAAGATCTTCAATTCTGTGGCTGATCATTGATAGTGATTTGGCAAATTATTCATTGGTACCTACGAAAGACAAAAGACACTGAAAATCATGCCCTCTAAATCAGTTATAAACTGTAATCTAAACAATGGTAGAAGCATTGCTTACAATGGTCATAAATGGATTATCTGTTGAGAAACGTCAAGTCATGTGAATGCCTAACTCTCAGTAATGCAGTAAAAGATTCAGAAAAGACATTTTAACGAAAACTGTTAGAAGAACTACTCACTTAGTTATCACATATAGCTGAACTAAGTATTATTTAGCGGAACCATAGGCCATTACAGGAAATGTTTTCTCTTTAAATATTTGAAACCACTGTGAATTAAAGACGATTTTGTTAGGTTTTAACGGCAACTAATGACTATTTAAGTAGAAATATCCAGTAGTAAAATTAGTTAGTGCTAAAGTTTTGTTAGCATGGCTAAAAAAATTTCACCAAAAAGAAGGAAATAACATGTAAACTGGTGAACTGAAAACTTCCATTAGTCTTCAGGTAGCTGTTGACAGACAATGTGGTCCTCACACTTAGTATCTCAAGTAAGTGGTTATCCACTGACTGGTAGTGAAATCAGATAAAAATGTTGGGTTCAGATTTATTCTCCTCATACCAGTATATCATGCCTAAAAATTGTTAATTTCTTTATATCCACGATGCTGTCTCAGCTAAACCGACTAAACGGTACCATATGAGCATGGTTCCAAGCAAAAATGGTAATGGTAGTTACCAGATTACAGTCCAGGATCATCTCTTTGTTAAACACAAGTTATCGTGACATATTATTACTCTTATGAAATTATTATTTGAACACTGAACTTTGCGATGAATATTTTTACGAAAAGGGATAAAAATATCCGAGAGAAATATTGAGTCTTTTTAAAGGTTGCTGGGATCGAAGAATAATTACTGGGTACTTTTGAGCGAATGAAAGTAATGCCATTGGTTTTTAACTGGTGTAGACATATACATATATATATATATATATATATATATATATATATATATGAATTCATACACCAAGGGTATTTTAGGGAGTAGGAAATTACTTGATGGTTTATTCTCAAGAAAGCAGGAAGAATCCAACAAATTAGACTCTTTTATTCATCTATAGGCATAAACATAGATAAACTTTTTATGTTAAATTTTCTGAGTAATTCGTTCCCTGAGCTAGGCTCATAGTTGGCGAATGTTTCAGTGTCACGCTAGACATTATCACCCGTGCATCAGAGCTTCCTTGTGAAACTCCAAAGAACAGCTTAATCTGAGCATCAGTACTCTGAGTCGCAAATATTCACTGTAGTTTTCTGATGCAACATTCACATCGATTCAAAAAAGCTTTTTTTCAGTGAGCAAAAAGAAATTTTTATTGAATGCACTGTCATTTAGTAATAATGTATATTGGTAATGATATACAATGATACTTCAAAACACTGCTTATCTATTCTTAGGTGAGTGAAGTTTCCCTATGTTTTATATGCATGGTAATCTAAGTTATTTACTTGTGAAGAAATCAAATGTATTTATAATAAAACTAATCATCAGTATGCTATGATCAAGTCGATAGAACTCTGGCAGGATAATTCAGAAATTATCACTGTGTTATAATGACATTTAGGTTCAGATTAAATCTAATTGCTGTTCATTTATGTGAACATTTATCTTTGAATCAGTCTATTGAATAGATTAACAATTGCGACAAGAACATTATGAAAATTTATTTCATAAATTTAGCTGTAACACATCAGATACACAAATCTATACTTTAACAATTGAATTTACTTTCGTCCTTTCTTGTATCATGCTTTTAAGAAGCTTAATGGTCACTAATTTTTCTGTATGTTAAATTAGACGGTACCGAGAATTTTAAAGCTGACAGAGTATCTTTCCTGTGGAAGAAAACACTGAACATCTTACTATGGAAAATAGATTTTATGGCATAGTTTACATGTGAATAAAAAACTGTACACCTACATTCTTCTTTAATCTGACTTGGTACTTGTTCGAGCTTTATTCGATACGTTTCAGTTATCAGTTAGCTATGAATTGCCTTTGTTCTCGAAAACTACAGTCTGTTAGACATAAATATGTTGGAAACTCTAAGCCACAGCTTTTCTGTAGCTGGTCATTATAGTAATCTTGGAATGAAACATCATTCTTCAAGGTCTCCAGATCAATGGTCAACTAGATGTCTTTTCAAAACACTTCACTACAAAATTAATATGAACCTTTGCATATCAGTAAGACAATGAAACAACATAAGTAAATACTCTGCATTCTAATGAGGTTACATGAACACAAATCAGTACAAAATATTTATTTATCTTGTTTATTTGTCCTACTCTGAGGCTAAACAAGACAATGGAGATAACATTATACGGCAACAAAAGTATTGAATGTAAAAACTAATTTCATCTATCACTACATTGATTTGGCTAGTGGCCGGTTAACTCGTTTACTTACTACAGTAATCGTTGACATTACTATGAATTTAAGAAAGCGACAAGAAAATCAAGATGAGATCACACTTGTAATATAAAGAATTCTTCAACTAAACTCACTTTATATTTACATCATTACTATTTGAAATATGATCAATGTTATTTTGCATTGTGAAAGGCTGAATCCAATGCGGACTTGTTTGTGTAGATATATAAAGATATACTTTTTTTATATGTACACGTGTTGATTATGAATGATGCCCTTTATACAAAATATGAAGTATTCCTCAGTAAATGTACAACACATCAGAACAGACAAATATGCTAGCTTATCTAAATTCACAATTATATTACATCCATTCAGACAGATATTCCTCAAGGTATTACAACCAAAAAAACTGCTGTTAAAAATTCAAATTTTTGCCGAAAAAGTTTATCGCTGACAGGATAATATATACTTCATTTAGGCGTTGAATATATATATATGTATAGACTTCAATAGCCCAAAAGAGGTATAATCCAATTTTATAGATATTACGTTCCCGTAGATTTTATGGTTTTTTCGCACTAACATACGTATTAGGTATGCATTGGAAAAAGAAGGAAATAAAAATGCAAAAACAAGCGTTGTGAAAACAGAGTGATGAGTTGCTTTTTAGTTATTATTATTATTACTATTTTTATAGTACTTTTTTCTGTTTAAATTTTATCCAGTTTCGTGCACTATTTTATCTGTAACGTCTTCATCCCTCCCCTAGCCAAGTTATCGTTATCGTTGCCTTTCTATCCAATTCTATTCGTTCACAAACCAGTATGCAATATGCTTTTTTTCTGATTCCCTTCTGCACACATTTCCTAGACTAAACATTTTATACTGATAGGCAGCTACTAACTAAGTAACTAACTAATCAGTGCACTAAAAACACATGAATAGTGTATACAAGTTTGTGTATCCATGTGAAGGGATACAAAGATATACATGTTGTGTACACCACTTCAATCACTGAAAGCATAAACGTATACACACGAACATGCACACTTGTATATAACTATTATACATATTAGAAGGCTTTTGCAATAAAGTTTTATAAACCTAAATGTTTATGGGACAGAAATTCAGGTGATTTTCACGATAGCTTAATCTTTGTTCAGATAAACGCGTGCCTGTACAGTGCAATACTTCACTTTAGAGCTGTATGCATCTGTATGTGTGTGCGTTTAGAGTTTCACAAGTATTTACTAACAATTCTTAGTCTATAATGAAAAATCATAATTTTTTGCATGTGACAAAATTTTCGTAATTTTGTCAATATCATTAGTAGGCTATCAAACACCAAATGATGAAAGAATGATTACATCATCTAAATGACTGATGAAAAGACGACGATTATTCGAAATATGTGATGTAATGGCGCAATTACCTGATCACCTATGAACTTGTCGAACCATTTGTGTCATTACCTACGATAAGGGTTAATTAACTCAATAAGGAAAGCCGGAATGTGAAAGGCAGAGAAAAAAAGCAAAATCTAATTCATATACATTCTCAGTATGAAGGTATAGGCAATACTACCAAAGTAGGTTCCATGTAGGTACATGAGGAAGGTTTGAATATACGGATGGTAAGAACATCGATGAAATAAACCACTCGGACTTAAACACTTGTATGTAGTACTTAAAAGGTTGTTTCCACTTCCACACTGTGACCAGTTTCCAGTATGTGTTTAGTAAAAGATAAAGACAGATGTTTATCACTTGTAATTTTTGGCTCTGGTTAAGTCATTTGTTCTGGAAGCCACATCCTTAACTGCATATAACAATTTATCCTCTTTATATTTATGTGTCCACGCATATACATCAATTGATAAACACAGTAGGGGTGTGATGCAATCACTTATGTATCTATTTGTTGTGTTGTAACATGAACTTCGTCCTCTCTATAATCGTGACCTTGGCTGCGTAATATGTCCTACAAAAGTCCTAAAAGATTTATTATTGTTATGTGCTGAAAAATTTCATTTCATATTCAAGACTGAATACTTTCTACCAATTGGTGGCGTCTCCAGTGATAGTCCATTAAGACCATTCCTAGTCAATGTTTATATGTAATATATTAAAAACATGGTTGATGGTTTCAGCGAAAGAGTTTCGCTTTATACGGGATATGTCAATGATTTAGTCATTCTGACTATACAAAGTGTCTACTGGAGAAAATGAACACGGCTTAAGATCACAATATCCTTACTTGCGGATGACAGACGAACAGCCAGCTATCATTCCTAGATATAGTGTTTAATCGGCGAGAGGATGACTCGATCTAAAGGATGATCAGTAAGAAGCCTACACTGTCAGGGCATTATCTTGGTTTCCATAGCTATCACCAATTTGAATACAAATGCGGCTTAGTAAGGTGGTGCAGGATTAACGGAACCTGCACCGATAACACTAAAGATGAAGCAAACAAGTTACTGACAGCTATACCGATGTAGAATGGTTAACCATCAAAATGTATCAATAGGTGCAAAAGTCATGTCGCTGCGAAAAGCACATAGTGTTCTCTTCCTGAAGAAAAGTCCACATCTCATATAGAGGTGAATCCTACAGCTGTATCATGAGAAAAAGTTTAAGACCAGTCTTATGTAAGACACATTACGCAACCAAACAGATGAATTTAACTGAGCCAAAAATTAAAGTGACAAATATTTATTCAATATTAGATCCGTTAATTTGATTTACAACACAATGATATATATATGTATATTACTTGATGACATTTCGAGCATAAATTATTGCTCATAATCACATCAGTGTAATCACACTACCTTCGACATTTGATTTTTATAGTTATGTCACCTCATATGATTTGCTTTTTACTGGCAGTAGAATCTTCCATATCTCTGTCATAGGTGTTGCATCATTTCCGTTGCATGTGTTGAGAGTTGATTCGATGAACGAAGACTCAGTAATCAATCTCTCTCTCTACCCATTTATACTGGACCTGAGTACAGTGGCTTTGTCCACCCTATTTTGTGGTTATGTACTTGTTAATGCATGCAGTGCCATGGACTAGTTTTTTCTAGATTATTGATTTTATTCGGATCTGTCATTCTACATTTAGCTAAATTTTTATGTTTGACTGTTCTTACTGACCCCAGCCGGCCAGTTTGACCTATGTATTTAACCTCACAGTCAAATGGAGTTTGATAGATTAGTTTATTTTTGCTTAATCGGATCTATCGGATCTCTAGGCCGACAAAGCTTATCTCTGAGTGGATTTGTAGGTTTAAATGCCACTCCAATACCAGCTTTGTTGAGGATTCCACATAAAGTTCCTAATGTGCTTTCCTTGTATGGTAACACAATGGTGGCTGTGGACTTTCTACATGTGTTGTCCTTATCATTCGTACTCGTGTTAGTGTTATTTTTTCATTTCTTGTGTGTTCATACGAATTTCTCGATAAACTGCGGAGGATAATTGTTCAGTATTGGTTTTTCTTTTTTTGCGTTTTTCATTTCACCTATGAGGTAGAAAATGGACAAGGATAATTACCTATGTTGGATTGCAAGATAAAACAAAGGACAGACGGTGGTTTAGATACTATAGTCTACAGAAAACCAATACATTCTAACAGGTATCTAGACTTCAAGTCATCCCACCCAATGTCAGATAAGGCAGGTTTAGTCAAATGTCTAAGTAACAGGGCTAGAAATCTGACTAGTCAGTCCAAGGCCCTAAATAAGGAATTGAAACATATAAGAGCACTAATAGTTAATAATTATCCTCCGCAGTTTATCGAGAAATTCGTATGAACACACAAGAAATGAAAAATAACAGTAACACGAGTACGAATGATAAGGACAACACAAGTAGAAAGTCCACAGCCACCATTGTGTTACTATACAAGGAAAGCACATCAGAAACTTTACGTGGAATCCTCAACAAAGATGGTATTGGAGTGGCATTTAAACCTACAAACTCACCCAGAAATCTAATATGGAATTAAATTCTAGCAGTATCTGAGTTTTACAGCTATACTAACCTTCTAAGTACTACATACAAGTGTTTAAGTCCGAGTGGTTTATTTTATCGATGTTCTTGCCATCCGTATATTCAAACCTTCCTCATGTACCTACGTGGAACCTACTTTGGTAGTATTGCCTTTACCTTCATACTGAGAATGATGTGAATTAGATTTTGTTTTTTTCTCTGCCTTTCACATTCCGGTTTTCCTTATTGAGTTAATTAACCCTTATCATAGGTAACGACACAAATGGCTCGACAATTCAATGTGTGATCAGATTGTCAGAAATGTTGCAGACAGTCTTCATCATCTCATTATGCTTTTCAGATTTATTAAAGTGACGAAATACTTTAGGTGGTATCTTACTCCCATAATTGCATGCTAAATAGTATTTCCCTAAGTCGTTTACTTGATGATTTGGAAATTCTAACGAAATCTTAATACATACTAATCTTCTCATTGAGTAGTTAAGTTGATGTGTATCATGTGAAAGATTGGTCAATGATAAAAAAGGGTTCATAGTGAAAAGTAGTGATTAGGTGATATGGCCTGAAAAATTCTAGCTTTTCTAAGATTTTAGTTTCTCATCGTTGTTGTCTATAATTTGCAAATTGTTTATTCTTTGTATTTTGTTACGCTGATCACATGACTAAATTAAATAGTGATTATGAATTAATGGATACTTTAGATAAAGAGAGAAAAAATGATTTCGGTCATAATAATAATGAAATTGGTAGATGCGATGCAATTTCATGTCTTATTTGATAAAAGTTAATAAGGGCAGTCAGCAGGAAGTCATGTTTGACCTTGGATTAGTGCTTATTAGTATTCGTTCGCAAAATGTTTCTATAACCTTGAAGGAATTATTGATGTCCTAGGGACACTATATTGAATCCCTCAGAACTACATTGAGAGATGTTTCAGTAGTTATTCATGATTTGAACTGGATAAATTAATTCGGTATTAGATTATAAACATAGTTTTATTGCATAGCTTTATAAGCTCATGGAGTTCTATTAATTCAGTTTTTAAAATATTTATCATTTTTTGAAAGGCGTCATTGCATATTTGGATAAGCAGGTTACTTTCATACATACATCTCCCTGACGACCGTCATCATTTTCTTGAGGTAGCTGGGTGTGGTGTTACTCACTCAGTTCATACATACAGTCTTTAGATAAAGAATACAGAATCTGAATTCCGGTGATTCAAGAGTTACAGGTTGAAAGAAAGTCTGTCAAAATGACGGATACTGGATTCGAGTATCAGTGGGAACAAAATCACTGACTAGGGTCCAGGCAGATCCAACCGACAAGCCTAAACGGGATCCAACAAGTGACCTGGATTCCACTGCAAGCCATCAAGATATATATTTGTTCAAATATCTTATAGATGAATGGCAACAAGCCGCAGATAAATATAACGAACATTACATCAGTTCCTCCATAGTGTCTTCGCATATGTGTCAGCAACTAAAATTATGTCAAAAACATTCGATAAGAAATAAAAACCTCGTACGAAAGAGCAATCAGTAACATTGAATGATGTTTTCACTGGGTTAAAAACAATTTCAAGGCATCATTCATCATGTACTGACAACAGACGGAGAACCACCGAGAACCTGGGAGTACTGGACATCTATTTCGTTCCAGTACGGCTTCTTGCTATAACTTTATACAATCTATCTTAGTAGAGAAGCTGTGAACTGTACAGTAGACCAAGTGAAGTATGAGGCCAAACACTGACTAACTGCATGAGATGGTGATCATGTTTTGTTGTAAATCGACAATAGGAGAAAAATGCAAACGATTGGATCCCAAACCAATGGCTGAAAAGTAA